GCGGGGGGTGCAGCAAGGTGGCCCGCAGCGCGGCCGGCAGCCGTGGCCGGAGGAGCAAGGGGGGGTGCAGCATGGTGGGGAAGGCACAGCCAATGGTGGGGCCGGCAGCCAATGGTGGGGAAGGCACAGCCGGAGGAGCCAGCAAAACGGGGGGGGGGGGCGCGGAGCAGCCAGAGGAGGAGCCAAGGAGGGGGCGTGGCCAGAGGAGGAGCCAAGGGGGGTGCCTTTTTTATGTTTGCTCCCCCTGCTCTTGGATCCTGGCTACGCCACTGGCAACATCAAGGGGATGTGAGTCCGTCCTGGAGAGGAAAACCCGTGCGCAGGGGAGAGGGACTAACGCAGGCTGCAGGGTGTATTTCCGTGCGATGTCGCCATTGCACTGGGTGGAGAATCAGGAGAGAAGCTTCAGCAGGAGAAGCCCAGCGAGGGCCGGGAGGAGGAGCCCGGCTGGTCCCGGAGTCACGCCCGCCGCGCCGGAGGCTGCTGTGCATTTGGCTGTGGTTAGATCTGCACTAATCCCTGTGAAGGTCCCTGAACCCACTTTTATATTGGCGCAGACGGACTCGGAAGCGCAGCCCTTCATGACGGTCTGCACTTGACTTCCACCTGCGTGTTTGGGAGAAACAGGCGATTGTCAGGGGAGCAGCTCCACTCCTCCAGCTGGACTAGGACACAACGGCCTCCCCGCTCCTCATGGCCCCACCATCCTCCCCTGACCCCCCCAGCCTCCTGGCCCTGGATGGCCTCCCCCTTCTCCTCCGCTAGGACAGAGTTTCACTCTGTGTTTGTAAACCAGTCACGTGCAGCCCCAATCCAGAGCCCACTGACAACTCCTAAATTGGATGAGGCCTGTATTAACCCCGTGGCTCATCTACAAAGCAGCAGCTCAGTGCTGGTGGCAGTAGTGGGATCTCTAAGCAGGGCAGCTTTGTAGTGAATTAAGGCACCATGATGGGACTCCACAAAACTAGGTTCAGTTCCCAGCTCTGCCACAACCTTTCTGTGCCACACTGGGCAAGTCAAGGCACTGCTCCGTGCCTCAGTTTCCCCACCTTTAAAATGGGTGTGAAAGATCTTTCATTTGCCTGCTTAGATTGCAGGCTCTTTGTGGGCAGGGACTGTGTCTCACTAGGATTCCTTCAGCATCTGGCAGAAGAGAGGACCCTGATCTCAGTCAAAGGTCTTTGCAGCACCCAGCACAAGAGGGACCCAAATCTTGCTCAGGGGTCTGTCCAGTGCCGGGCACAACAGGGGTTCCCAGGACTAAGCCAGGCCTTACAATAAGGAGTTTAGAGACTGAACTATTGACAGGCAATGGATGGAGGAGAACCAAAGGCACAGGGAGGGGAAGACACCGGCCCAAGTGTGACATTGCACCCCATAAAGCTTTATGGAAATATGCTTATGAATGTATATATGACATAACTCGAATATGTTTTATGCTAAATAGGCTATGTAACATATCTCTGCAAAGGTTATGATCTACTGAATCTATTCCTCCTATTTATATGCATGTATCATTTTTGTATTCAAAGTTATGAATATTGGCTGTGTACTCGCTTGATTTTAAGTAGCCTAGTAGAGCATTTGGTCAGCTTCTTGAGAAAGGAATGTGCAAATTAAGTGCCCAATCAAGAACCACTTAAGCCAACAATGAACGTGAAGATGCCAATCCACATCGGAGCTTTCCCAGGAACGTGGCTTGGCTGGTAAGGAACTCAGTCGTGCATGAACAAGTGACTTGCCCATGTGACTCCAAAACTCCATTTTGTAGCTGGATTCTACACAGGGGGAGGAGGGGTGTCCACCCACAAGAGAAAGTCTATTTAAACCCCTGGGAGACCCCCTCCATTTTGTCTTCAGTCTAAAGAGATAGCCTCTCCATCCAAGGGATACCTGAAAGAAACTGGAACAAAGGACAGGAACTACAGGGGGTGTGAGTGATTGCTGGACTTATTGGAACTCCACTGAACGTGAGATTTTATCTGTATTCATTTTTCTTACTGTATTAGACATAGACTTGTGTGTTCTATTTTATTTCGTTTGGTAATTCACTTTGTTCTGTCTGTCATCACTTGGAACCACTTAAATCCTACTTTTTGTAGTTAATAAAATCATTTTTTACTTATTAATTAACCCGGAGTATGTATTAATACCTGGGGGGGGTGGGCAAACAGCCGTGCATATCTCTCTAGCAGTGTTATTGAGGGTGAACAATTTATGAGTTTATCTGTATAAGTTTTATACAGGGTAAAATGGATTTATGTGGGGTTTGGACTCCATCGGGAGTTGGGCATCTGAGTGTTAAAGACAGGAACACTTCTTAAGCTGCTTTCGGTGAAGCCTGCAGTTTGTGGGACGTGGTTCAGGCCTGGGGCTGTGTTTGTGGCCGGGAAGCGTGTCTGGCACAGCCAGGCAGGGCGCTGGAGTCCAAGCTGGCAGGGCAGGGAAAGCAGGGGCAGAAGTAGTCTTGGCACGTCAGCTGGCCGTTCCCCAGGGGGTTTCTGTGATCCAACCCATCATACCAAGTTCACAGTGGAGGCCAGCGCTGGGAACAGAACCCAGGTGTCCTGATCTGCAGCCAATACCGTTATCTAACGGCCCCCGCCCAGCGTCTCGCTTCTACCCTACGGGGCGGGGGGAGGGAACAGCAAAGGAAAAATAACCCCAGAATAAATGAACTGAAGTTACTCATCGTTACGGTCCCAGCGGCGTCAACACAATGCGTCTCAGGTCCAGTACACGCTATGGTCCCTTCCTTGCATGGACCCTGGCTTGAGGGGAAGCAGCCAGGGCAGCTCCGACCGTTGGGTTTGGTGTCAGCCGGGGGCACTGGGAAGAAGTGGAGCAAACGCAGTCAGCTCGGGGGACGAGCCCCAGGTGGCGTCGGGGCAGGGAGAGCAGCTGGGGGCTGCACAGCTCAGCCCTGGGTGCCCCCTGCAGGGGGAGCTGTAGCTCTGGGGACACCGGGGGCAGCAGGGGCAGGGGAGAGGTTTGCAGCAGGGACCCCTGGACCTTGCCCTGGGTGGGGTCAGCTGGGTTCACACCTGATGGGAGCCTAAAGCCCCGCCCACTAAACTCCACCCATCCTGGGACTCAGCATTATTCCATGGGGTGGCCCCTACAAGGCAGGAGGACCAGCTCAGGAAGTTAACGTGAGGCAGTTTCCAGGCAGCAGGAGGTGCAGGGGATGGGGGAGGAGAGGCGGAGATGGGGAGAGGTACTTGTAACTGTGGTTGTTCTGCAGGCGTCTCCCACGCAGCAAACGACGCTCGTCCTTGTTGTCATTCCATTCCCAAAATTCATAGAGAGGGTGCCGACTTTACATTGGTTAGCTGCCACACAGCCCTTGAGAAAGCTCTGACTCTTCACTCCCTCTGCACCTGAGGAGAAGTCTGAGATTTGTTCCCCTTCTACTCCCACCCCATCAATGTCCTCTGTACAACAATGCCCTGTGCCATTATCCTTCGTCTGCCTATGGGGAAACTGAGGCACGGAGAGGAGAAGTGACTCACCCAAGGTCCCACAGGGCTCGACAAAGAGATAACAGCACCTAAACCCAGCACTTAGATCCTCCAGCTCCCCACTCAGCTGCCACCTAACCCTGGGGGCCCCGAATCTCCTACCCAGAAAGTCCTTTCGCTGCCAACGTTCCCACCAGGGGGTACATGCCAGGCCGCCGAGATGCCGACACTGGGCATCCAGCCACCCCTTAGCCGCGGCAGGATTCACAGACTAGGTGTTCCCCTGATGATCTCACCTGCAGGGCCGGAGCCAGGGGATGCCTTCGGAGCACGCCCACCAGATCCGGCCCTGCACTAAGCCCAGCTGGGGGAGGAGATGCTGTGTTGCTCCCCCCGGATACCCAGGAGCCCAGTGGGTCTGATGCTTCCCGTGGACGTGGGGGAATCAGGGTCCAGGGAACGATTAACTATTTAATACAACGTGCGGCATTTTCAACAGGGGAGACCCACCCAGAGGCCAGGGGGCCAGGCAAGACCGTAGGAAGGGAGAGATCTGGGCTGAAGTCCCCAGCCTGATTTTGGCCAAGTGGAGATTTGAACTTGGCTCCCCCAGGGCCAAGCTACTGGGGTCTCCTGTCAGCCCCTCCTCCAATGCCGTCTTCTGCAAGGAAGGGCTGACCCTTCAGACACCCGACTACCGGCGAGGGATTCCCAGCTGTGGAGCCCAACCAGAGCTGGGCGTCTCCGTGAAGCTAAGAAGTAGGGCCAAATTCCGAGTGAGAGGCGGGGCTTAGGCCACACCCCTCTCCTCGGCGTTTCCTATTGGCTGGCTTAGGCGGCTCCTGCTGGCTGTGCTGGCTTTTGCGGATCCCATCCTGAGTGGGCCCCGGCCCACGGGCTGGCTAGTCACCTGGACTGATTCCCAGGTGCAGCTACAGTGGACACATTGCGGCTGCCGTGAATTTTGGGGTCCCAGAGCCCCTTCCCCAAGCTCCTGGCACCGGCTCTGCCCCCTGGAGCAGCACTGTGGGGGCGGTGGTGTTTCCTTAGAGCGCCGTAGGGAGGCTGCCTCTGTCCGGGGGAGGGAGGATCTGGCTTTCTCTCCTCTCCCCCTTTGCCACGGATGAACTAGAAAATCATTCCCTGATATTTACGACGGCTTTGCTACCAAAAACGTCTGAATCGCTTTTTTACAGCAAACTCCTTCTGTTCAGTTCATACAGTTCATCGCAACTGTGTCCCGTTGGTGGTATTCTATCTAGCACCTCTTCCTCTTCACACCGTCCGGGTGTCTGCCTGTACTGACACGGCACGTCAACCTGTCGCCAGGACAGTGTTTGAACTGTAAAAACTGCAGCCACTGTGAATTTGCTGGGCCTTTCATGTGAGACCCACTGCTTGCAATACCGAGACTGAGACCCCTTTGGTGTACTAGCCCACAGGGTGCAGCACAGAACCCAGGAGTCCTGGCTCCCAGCCATTGCCCGTTTGAACCCAGCCACCCCACTCCCGTCCCAGAGGAAAGTGTAGAACAGAACCCAGGAGTCCAGGCTCCCAGCCATTGCCTGGTTGAACCCAGCCACCCCACTCCCGTCCCAGAGGAAGGTGTAGAACAGAACCCAGGAGTCCTGGCTCCCCAGCCTGTTCCCTGACCCAGGCTGATTAGGGTCCATCTCACCTACCCTGTATGACTTCTGTAAGGAAGATGGCACAAGAGTCTTGCCCAGCTGGGCAGGTCTGCATGCTGCCCGTGCAGTTGTTCCCTGGTCCATTGCAAACCTCACACTGCAGACAGGTCCCTGGAGAAGGAGAGAGAACATGATGGTCTAGATTTGTCCCTTCCTTGCACCCTCACTTTCCCCTGAATTTAACTGACCCCAGCTGAGGATCTGGCCCCATTGACACCAGTGGAGCAACAGCGCATTGACCCCAACTGGGAATCATGATGTAGAAATGCCTTTTATATTGCCTTGAGCTCACGTGCATGAAATTCAGATCTGTTTCCTTTCCGACAAACTCATCTTATTGGAAAACCCGGGAGGTGGGTCCTCTAAACCCTCCCCCAGCCTAACAGGAGGGACCACTGGACCCAGGGACCAAGTGAATACAGGGGACAACCAATGAGAAAAACAGGGACTGAGGTGAAGGTCATAGGTTCAAAACAAGGGTACCAGATGGGGACACCGAGCAGAGAACCCCGGACAGCACCCACTGCTCCTCAAAGGTGTCGAGGGAGCCAGCGAGCGCTGCCCAGTGCCACTCTGCCCGGATGCGTGAGCGGATGGAGGATCGGAATTAGGCCCCACAGTCGCAGAGCACCCCCTCGTCCAGCATCCTCCTCCTGGTAGTGTAGATGGAGAGTTTGGCCAGGGCCAGGAGGAGGTTGACGAGGAGATCTCGCGACTTCGTGGGGCCATGGATGGGGTGTGCAAAAAGGAACAGGTGTGGGGAAAAGTGTAGCCAGGAGGAGGAGGAGCCGGAATAGGGTCTGCAATCTGGCACATTCGAGATAGGCGTGCGCCAGGTTCTCCCTCACGCCGCAAAAGGGACAGGCCTCAGGTACGGGTGTGAACTGCACCAGGTACATGCCCATGCTCACGGCTCCGTGAAGGAGCCACCAACTGATGTCCCCGGCGAGCCGTGGGATCAAGGTGGAATAAAGGCTGGCCCACCAGGGCTTCTCACCCCCTTTAGGTGGAAGATAGTCCCGCCACTTGGTGTCGGGGCGGGACGCGAGGGTGAGGAAATGCAGTGTGTGGAGCACGAGCGTGTACAGTTGGTCTCTAGGCACGGTTCGGAACCGGACCAGCTGCAGGGTGTGCAGCTGGCTCAGGGTGTGAGAACGGGAAGGCCGGGGTGGCTCACGGAAACAGGGGCGAATAAAAATGTCCGGAGGGCCCGGGGGGAGGGGTGGGCGGGGAGTGCTGTCTTGCAGGGCCCACTGAAAGAAGACGATAGAAACGGGTGACAAGGCGGCCTCCACTTCCCAAAGTACACGCAGGGGGGTCGGAAGGGTGGAGATACCCATGCGCTGACCGAGCACATGGGGATCCACCCAGTCCTCCCTGTCGTAGTCCAGGAGGTCTCCGACCCTGGCGGTTTCTGCCAGGACCAACCTCCGGCGCACTGAGGGAGACTTCACCACCTGCACACGTAGTTCGGGGTTGTGCAGCAGGGGATCTGCGAGGAGGTCTGCCCCCTCAGTGGCCACAAAGGACTTGGTCACCGAAAAGAGCTTCCAGGTCTGGAGGAGGTCCTGGTAGAAGACCAACAGCTCTGAGAGGTCTCGCGGAAGACCCCTCGGGTGGAGAAAAAAGCTGCCAGTCATATCGGAGCCCTCGGAGGTGGCGGAGGAAGGCGTGCGCCAACATGCTCCACGCTGGACTACCTGCACCATAAAGGAGTCTCTGCAGGGCCTGGAGGAGGAAGACATGGACTTGGTTGCAAAGGCAGACTACGCCCTGCACTGGTGGAAATCCCCTTTCAGGAATGTCCTTGGTTTCTGGCCAGTTCTGAAATGTGCCCAGTCACGACTCGGTTTTAGTGATTTAAAGTGTAAATATTTCCCCCCTTTTCCAGAATTGTTTCACTCCTTATCACAGGGACTTTGTGACTTCCAGCCCTCTCCTTCTCGGACGTTGTCACTCAGACGCCCCCAGCTCAGCCCCCATTATTTTCTGGCTTCTTTTTGGTTACGTTCATTAAGAGTTTTACCCAGCAGGCGGCTCTGAGCTGTTGGTACTTTGTAGAAGTTAGGAAATCAGCCCCGTAGGAACGGACCCCACTCACCCGTAGCCAGGAGAGCAGCGAGGATGCAGATGACAAGAGAAGCCTCCATGGTGATGGGGAAGCAGTAGATCGGCGCTGGGGTCTCGGATGCAGCTAAATCTCTGACCGGGGGATTGATCACAGACAGGCTGAAATGAGATCAGACGAAGGATTGTACATGCACAATCCAGGTGACACGGTGGGTGGAACCACAGAGTCATTTGCTACAGCTCTGGGGTAGCCGTAGCACTGAGCCCTTGGTGGCTGGTATGTTCGTGGCACCCACACAGATAAGTCAGAGGCAAACCTGAAATGCTCCTGCTGGAAGGTTACAGCGTGAGGTGACTCTGTTTCTGGGAATCCAGAACAATCACCGACAAGAACACAAACAAGAGGGACACAAAGCAGGCTGCTCCTTAAACAGAGTGAGACAAAGCAGGCTGCTTCCTGTGGCAGCGAGAGACAACTCACCCCACCTTGTTCTAGGCTGGTTCTTTCCAGACTGCATCTGGTCCCATGTCTCCCTGCAGAGCCCCCACGACTGCCAGAAGGACCAGGAAACCCCACTCCCACCCACTCTTACAGCAATAGCTTGCCAATGCAAACAGTGCTTGATACACAGAGTTCAGGTCTCTGCAAAGCGGCTCTCAGCCACGCACTATTTTTAACAGCGGAGGGATCCTTGGGCCCGGAAAAGGGAAAACCCGTATCCCTCCTCCAGAGCCAAATTCCCTCTGTGCCCCCACCCTGCAGATCAGGGCCTGGGGTCCCTGCACCATCACGCCAGGTTCCCAGAGGGAGGAGGAATTGCACTGACCCCTCCCCACACTCAGGTGAATTTTTTTCTCCACACCACACAGCTGTGACACCTCCCCCACCCAGTTGGGGTCCCTCACGTTGCCACAGGCCATCAGGGAGCCATAGGCTGGGGGGGAGACATTCCCCCTCCCTCCTGGTGACAGGTACCTCTGCCTCCCCTTCCCCCATGCACTGTGCTGGGGCACTTCCCACCCTTGCAGGATGTCACAGCATTGCCAGTGCTCTGCAGCTGCCTCAGTTTCCCCACTCTCAGCCACCCTCATGCTCTGTTGTGCCAGGGCAGAGCTGATTTCCCTGCTCCCGGCAGAAGGAGTCCAAAAGTTTACACTGAAGTCAGAGTCCCCTCTCCGGTGTGGCAGCGGGCAGCTCTCTCCTGACACATCCTATCAGTTTCAGGCAGCTGTTTGCACTCGCTGGGTACAGAACTGGAGTTGAACCGAGCTTCTCCCTTGATACGACCCCGCTGCAGCTGTCAGTTACCCCGTTTGCACGCTGACTCTCGCCTTCATCAGCATTCATAGGGTGGAGGAGTGGGGCTGGCAGCCAGGACTCCTGGGTTCTATCTTGGCTTGGGGAGGGGAATGGAGTCTAGTGGTTACAGCATCAACAGACTGGAGGGGTATCACTTACCCAAATGCTCCTTAAAGTAAAGTTTGCGTGGGGTGAAGTCGGTGAAAACTCTGCAGAGTGGAAAAGCTGCACCCGTCTCTCGTTCTGGCCTGTCACACCTGGGCTCTCTCTGCCTCTTTTTATAGAAGGGCTCAGATACCTGCTGTGATGCAATATAGAAATCTGTAAGATTTGCATGCTTCATCAGGTAGAGTATATACATTTCTATTCTTCTCACTGGCCCTGCCCCCCTTTCGGCACCTGTGCACACAAATTCTCCTCCCTTCCTGCCAGGGAATCAAATTAGAGGAATGAGTGAAACCAACTCCCCTTAAGAGGCTTGGAGTGGCAACGTAGGCAGCGGGTCACACGAGGGACAGAGCGGATGGACTTCTAGGTCCTGTCCTTGGGAGAAGCAGGACGCCTGGGTTCTATAGAGTGGAAGCAGGGCACAGTGGAGTAGGGTTGCATGGGCCTTGGAAATCTGGGTTCCATAAGAACATGGGATCTAGTTAATGCAGGAGGAAGGAGGCCAGCTAGTCAGGACTCCTGGATTCCATAGGGGCGGAGAGGGAGGGAGGCAAGTATTTAAAACTGGTTGCCAGGATTCCTGGGTTCTCTCTCCAGCTCTGGGAGGAGAGTGGGGGCTAGTAAGGTAAAGCAGGCGGCCTGGGAGGCTGGACTTCCACATTCTGCCTCCAGCTGTGTGGTCTGGTGGATTAAAACAAAGGTCTGGGAGTCAGGACTCCTGTGTTCTAGGCCCAGCTCTTAGGTGGAAGCAGGAGCTCATGGGTTACGGCAGGGCTAGGAACCTGGTTTCCCTTTTCAGCTCTTCCAATCACTCTGTGTCCTTGGGAAAATCACAGGATCTGTCTCTCCTTTTCGTTGCACATGTTATAACAACATTGCCCCCCTCCACCAGCTCTTGTAATAACCTTTGCAAAGTTCTTGGTACATTTGGGCATGAGGGCCAAAGCGCTGAGGGTGTTTTTGATCCTTTTCCTTGTTGATCCCATTGACACACAATTTAAGCCCCATTTAAATGCAGAAGGGAACAGAGGAACCTGAACATGGAGAGCATCCCGGGCCCTGCAATGCAGTTGAGATTCTACCAGGCTGGTAAAGTCATGCCCGGGGTTCCCATCACCTTCCTAATGACCTTGACAACAGCTCTGGTTTCAAGCTGGTTGTAATTTGAGCTTGACCTCTGCATCTCTTCCTCCTGTTCGTCAGCCCCAGCTCCCTCACACTGTGTCATAAATGTTATGCAAGCGTAGAGATGGATTCCCGCCCCCAGTCTAAGAGGAAATGTCAGATTAAATCAGAAACATACACACCCAGCCCTGCCGAAAACCTCACAAATCTGAAAATCATAAAACCGTTGGTGGAAAATTGCAGGTAAAAAAAAATTCAGCCAGAAAATGAAAATTGTCCAGCTGATAATATAAAATAATGTTGGTTGAAAAGCGCTAAAAACTGGATACGTTTTGGCTACAAACTGCTACAAAGTGACCAATGATTGGCCTAAACGTGAATAATTTTCAGCCTAAACCCAACAATGTTTTGAGGCCAAACTATCAAAACCCAAACAGTTTTCAGAAAAAAAAAGTGAAAAATGTAATGTTTCCAGCTGAAAACTGAACAATTTTTTGCCCAGAAACTGCCAAAATCAAAATCACCTTAAAGCTGAAAAAAGTCACAGACCGAAAAACATTTGAGTTCCCAACTATTTTCAACCAAAATGTTCTGGAAGCTGAACAATTTTCAGCTGAAAACCAAACGAGTTCAGGCAAAGATCAAGCAATCTTTAGCCCAAACCTGCCAAAATCTTTCGACTCAAATCTGGACAATTTTTAGTCCAAATCTTCAGAAAACGTGACTATTTTCAGCCAAGAAATGAAAAGAACATGGCCCAAACCTGCTGAAAACAGAAAAAAAAATAGTTTTGTTTTTTTTGGGGGAAGGGGGATACAAAAATTAAAATTTAGGAGCAATGCAGGGGCCCTTGCTGTGAAAAAGTTTGAGTAAAAAAACCCTGAATTTTCCATTAAAAAAAGTTGTGATGGAAAGTTTCCTCTCAGATTCCCATGGAAGTTCCAGGGAGCTGCTGGCCCCTCACTGAAACTGGACAGTGGGGGTGGGGGTGGTGGTTTGATTGACACTCTCCCAATACCAAAATAAAGGGGAAGGGCCGAAGAGAAAGCAGGATCTTGAGACTGACAGGCCCCAGGGCCAACGGGGAGAGGCCAACACTTCAGGTCATAGAATCATTGAATATCAGGGTTGGAAGGGACCTCAGGAGGTCATCTAAGTAGTATATGGTTTGATAGCTTTCATCACCATGCATTTTTTGGCAGGATTCCATGCCCCATTTGCGGCTTTTGTTCCGCCCTCCCACCCCATTTCCGTTGGCGCCGAAGTTTGGCGCCGTTGGCCATTTTGATTTTTTTTCTTATTTTTGTGTGTGTGTGTTTGAATGCGGGAAGTGTTGTGTGTGTGTTTGTGCTTGGATACATTGAGAGAAAAAGGTTGAAAGACTAGAGCGAGAGAAGTTTTAAAGCTGAAAAAGAAAGTTGGGGTAAGGTTTAGAGAAAAAAGGGAGAGAAAGGTTATTGGGTGAGGTTGAGTAAGGAGAGCTGTGAGAGAAAAAGGTTAAAAGACTAGAGTGAGAGAAGTTTAAAGTTTGGGTAAGGTTTATTGAAAAAAGGTGATTGTGTAAGGAGAGCTGTTGTTAAACGGCAGGTTACACTGGTCTACAATTTTTTGAGAAGTCGTCTGCTTCAGAGATAAAATGTGCTATTTATTATGTATTTTGATGTGCTGAATTTAAATATGACAATTAAAACAACTGATTGGCTACTGTTTCTAAGATATTTAGTTTTTACATTTTTATGTCTATGTATATTGTGTAGATAGTAGAGTTTTAATCATAAATTGTAAACCTAGGTCTTTTCATGTGTTTATGGTTGCTTTTACATGATAATATTTCACCTGTCCTGTTTATGTAACACTTTAAAAATCAGCAAAAGGGTTATATAAATAAAATTTATTATGAAACAAAAGGCAAAAAACTATTCTGTACATAGTTTAGTCCTATTCAGTGTCTATTCGGCGCTTCTTGGCTTGTCTCTTGTATTCATTAAATGGAGCATCTCTTGTCACTGTCCAGCAATAGTCTGCAAGCATTAATGGGCTCCATTTGCCCTGATAGCGTTTCTCCATTGTTGCAATGTCCTGGTGAAATCGCTCGCCATGCTCGTCGCTCACTGCTCCGCAGTTCGGTGGAAAAAAATCTAGATGAGAGTGCAAAAAAAGTATCTTTAGTGACATGTCGCAACCAAGGCTTTTGTATGCCTTGAGGAGGTTTTCCACCAAACAACCTGTAGTCGTCTGCCTTGTTGTTTCCCAGAAAATTTA